GGAGCTCCACCGAAGCCCCCCGGGGGGGGGTCGCACGCGCTTCTTACCCATGTTGTCACACCCCTCACGCCTCGTAGCCCCACAGGGAACTGCATCGAAGCCGTCAAGAGGGGGGGGTCGCATGCGTTTCTTACCCATTTCGGCACACCCCTCACACGGTTCGTGGCCCCAATGGGAGCTCCAACTAGGGTCCAAATGTCAGCGTTCGCATGGCAGCGCCGCCTCATTTCGGCACACCTCTTACTCGTTTCGTGGCCCCACCGGGAGCTCCCATCAGTGCCAGCGTTCGCACGGTGGCGCCGCCTCTATTTCGGCACACCCCTCACACGGTTCACCTGCTCCCGATTCGGTACACCCCTCACACGGTTCGTGACCCCATGGGGAGCCCCAGTGGCTGCGTTCGCATGGCGGCGCCTTCCCAATTTCGGCACGCTCTTCACGCGCTTTCGGGAGCTCCACCAAAGGCCCCAGTGGCTGCGTTCGCATGGTGGCGCCCCGTATCGGCACACCCCTCACACGGCTCGTGGCCCCACACAGGGAGCTCCGCCGAAGGCCCCAATGGCTGCGTTCGCACGACGGCGCCGCATCCGTTTCGCCGTTGTCCGCGTACCGGACCCCCTCGTCCTCACGTGCCCCACGATACTCGCAGCTGCACATGGTTGGGCCCTTCTTCAGGCTGAGTTGATATGGGGTCCCCCTAAAGTCCCAGCCCTTTCCTGGGGCCCAGTTTTTCATCCCGAGTCGTTTGTCGCCTGTCACGGGGCCCGGCGAGGGCCCCTGGAGCACGAAAGCGGCCAAACATCTCCCGCCGTGATCTGTGCTGCGACGCGATATTTCCTGCCTAGGCTGGCCAACCCGTGACCTTCTCCTCCCCCGCGGCCGCAGCGCCGCTGGCCGCGGCGCCAGCCAGCCTCTGCCTCTTCGCCGGCGGGGCCGCGGCCACGGCGGGCGCGGGCTCGGCGACCTCGCCGGGCACGGCACGCGCCGCGGCGGCGCCCTCGCCCCCGTCGCTGTCGGACTCGTCATAGGCGGAGGCCAGCGTCCCGAGGGCGCCCGAGGCCCTCGCGGCGGGCGAAGGCCTCTGGCGGGGCGCCGCCGCCGCCGCGCCCGCCGGGCGCGCCGGCAGACTGGCGGCTGGGGGTGGCGGCCCCGGGGGCAGCGGGGGCCTCAGGATGGGGCCCAGGCTCGGTGTGCACGCCCTCCTGGCTTCCCAGACCACCCTGGGGCCATGAAAGAACACGACGGGGGGGGTTCGGCAGATTTCGGCCTCCGGGGGCCCTCGCCGGGCCCCAGGACCGTCAAAGAAACGACTCGGGAATGGGTCGAGACCTCTGGGAATCGACGTCATGAAACAATAATGACTTCGGGGGTCTGGGTCAATGGGCCCAGGGCTCACCCTGGACCCAGGGCTCAATGTGTACGCCGTCGTGGCTCACAGCGTGCAGGGCATGCGCACCGATCTTGGGCCCAGGATCGGCCTGGCCAGCATCAGTGCAGGCGGGCAGGGTTTGCTTGGCCCGTCGCCGTGGCAGCCCTGGCAACATGCAATGCCCTGCGGGCTGACCGCATGTCGCTCCGCTTCGCGAGGCGGGGGGCTGGAAAAAGCTCGGGGCGCTGACGCTTGGGGAGCGGGACATGGCCGGCGTGTCGCGCCGAAGCAGCGGCGCGACACACTAAACAAACCTTCCTGACCGTATACGTTTGCTGGGGCCATCCTGTCCCCAGGATCGGTGTATATACTCTCTCCTGGCTCGGCCGGGAAGGCGTACAGGCCGATCCTGGGCCCAGGGTCGGCCTGGCCAGGGCCGCTGTGAGTGCGTAGCTCGCGCCCTCCCCGAGGCCTGCCCGGGAGCGGAGCCAGGGCGCCAGCGGGCGGGGGTCCTGCTCTGGCGTCGGAGGGCCAGTCGACGCAGCGGCGGGGCCCCTGGCGTCTTCAGCCCAGGCCGACCAAAATAAAAGATCTAGCTCGTGTGAGCCCAAAACCGTAGGGTTTCTAGCAACCTATGCTGTGGTATATACAGGAACAAGACAAAAAATGATAGGATATAAGAAAGTAAGATATAATTCGACATAATATTGCACAACAAGGCATAGCAGTATATCATGAAATACTATGTATTGCACACTTAACATATGAGACTATATTAAACTATGGTATGATGTACTATCAAATTGTAATGGGAAGTGATGATAGAGTATCATGTAATGGGATCTGGTATAGACTATACTAACATACGATACCATAAAAATGTATTGCATAATACGACCGTACATCAGAAATGTTTCCCTATTATCGTACGGAACAAAAAAAACATGTAATATGATACAAGCTGGCATGGAGGGAAAACGATACTATAGGGTAATAAAATAGGGGCACGCATATAATTCACGAAGGAAAGATAATACAAAAGCCGATAATGTCATACAATAACAGATTCCATAATGTACGATGGTCTGGTAGAACATGATCTAACACACGATGCGAATGTGTGCTATAAAGAAACGCAATACAATGGAACTGTGGTATCTGATAGAGCATAACAAAGTAACATGTAATGTCACGAAATGTTGTGTTATAATATAGACTGGAATCACAAAAATACATGATGCTGTCGCATAAAAACGAACTTCGACCTGATACCATATATCTATATATAATAACATATACAATATGTATACCACATACATTAACATATATAATCGTGCCATCAAACACGAGATACGATAATATGCCATGCAATAATGCAGCATACAACCATATGCTACGCAATGATATGATGCAAACATATTGTATCAACCTATACGATAACGACATGTAGCGTTATAACGTACGACAATGCGATGTATTTGAAAACAATGTCAACAACTACAATCATTTATGAAATAAGACAACGTCCGTGTCAGAAACTAACATATAATAGAAACCAGCGTACCACACAATAATATGTATAATGGCATAATATAACCAGATCCAGTACCATAAATACATATGACATCGAACACGACATACCATAACAAGAAAATTGTACATGTGATGCACGATCGGATGATAGTATGTAATGTAATATGACATGTTGCACTATAGCATGATATTAAGTATGTACAAATATTCATCTATACAAAATAGTTTCTTCTATACATAAGGGGAAAAGGAGGGAGAGAGAGAGAGAGAGAGCAATCTGCGTGGTGCAATTGATTTCTGCTTGCAGTGAACTGTCTGCACCACTTCTCGCACAATCACCCCACCTACTCACCCACAACTTTTTTGCTGAACCCATGCGGCTGCGATTGCGATGACTGTTCGGCGTTGGCTGGCGCATCGCTGCGGCCGCGGTAACGCGCACATGCTCGCGCCAGAGTGACCAGACACTAGGGCGCGACCGACGCGGCCACGGCGCCGCTGACCGCTGGAGACTCCCCAGCGCGTCTCGCAAGCCGCGGTGACGAGCGGGAACTTCAATACCTGTCGGTGATTCGGGCGGGCGCGGTATTATGGCGTCGACAACAACAGACACGATGATGATAGAACGACGCTTGTGACGATGATGACGATGACGACGGCAACGAAAATGACGACGACGACGATGCTGATCACACCAACGAAAACGATGGTGTCCACACGTCGGTGATGAAGGTGTGGAAATGATTTCGACATGTGCGCGCGGCCGACGCGCGCAAATGGCCCGCATGGTGTGGTTTGGCAGGGATCGTGCCCCCACACACACACACACACACACACACACACACACACACACACACACACACACAGCACGCACGCAAGGGCGTTCGAATGATTTCGATATGCGCGCTCGAAGAGGCCCGCTTGGTCGCAGTTGATGAACTGCTGACAACCCGATGGTTGTCAGAAGGATTCGCAACAGCGCGCGCGCTGACTTCTGTCAAGAACTACGGTTGCAAAACCATGTATTGTTATAGGTTTCGGGGCACTCGGGCTTGAAAGCCTTACGACACATAAATCCCACCAGCCCTCTGGGCGCCGGTGGTTTAGAGCGTTTCCTCTTCCACCCCTCCTTCTTCCCCTTCGGGGAGGGGTTTACCCCTCCCCCTACCCCCTCCCCACTGACCTGGACAGGGGGTTCCGCGGCGCGATGGAGCGCCCAAGATCGACCCCTGGGAGGGCTAAAATTCGACACCCCTCACGAGGATCGTGGCTCCTGAGGGGGGGACTGTAATTAGGGAACCCCCCTTCGTTGATCGATCTCCTCCAAGACGGCTCCGAGGCCCCCCAAGAGACCCCCAGGAGGCCCCCAAGAGACCCCCAAGAGGCCCCAAGAGACCCCCCAGAGGCACCCAAGAAGCGCCCAGGAGGCCCCAAGAAGCACCCAGGAGGCCCCCAAAAGGCCCCAAGATGGCCCCAAGAGGCCCCAAGAGGCCCCCAGGAGGCCCCAAAGAGGATCCCGAACGGCCCACAGAGGCCCCCCCGAGGCACCCAAGACGCCGAAAAGCCCATCAGGACTCGCCTGGGCGTCGTTTCTGGACGGGCTGGTGGGGATATTTTTTTTACAGCTGCAGGCGGAAGCGCCAGCGGCGGGCAGTCGCGGGCGGTCTGCGGCCCGCTGGTGGGGATACGCGAAACGTCTAGAATTTGTTGAAAGATTCTGGCATGCGCGCGCGACGGCGGGCGCGCGTGCACTTCGTCCCATATGTTGCCACGGAGTCTTGGACATGGATGGTTATTGATGAACGAATGCGCGCGCATAGTACGTTTTGCGCGAACTGGCGGCGGGGGCGATACCCGTTGGGCTGGGATGGTACGCGTTCATGTTCAGAACGAGCTGCAACACAGCAACGCGAGCGGATTATCCCAGAGCGGGGTATATCATAACTGTTGTCTTGGAAAGACAATCGAAGTGGAGCAAAATACGTTGTGCAATATACTGCAAGATATGTTTTGCAATCTGTGTTGTGCAAGAGACGTATTGCACAAAATGTGGTAATCTATGTGGTGCAATATGTGTTGTGCAACCTGTGTTGTGCGATCTATGTGGTGCACTGTAAGTGTGCAATCTACGTGGTACAATTCACCCTGGCGGAATTGAAGTTGACGACTCTACTGCTCGCGCAAGCATCCCACCCACGACTTGGCTTGCAAAATCCATGCTCTGGCGATTGCGATGGCTGCTTGGCCCTGGCATCGCTGCTGCCGCGCAAACGCGCACATGTTCGCGCGCAGAACGGCCAGCTTCTCTGGCGCGACACGCGCGGCCACGGCGGCACTGACCGCTGGAGACTTCCCAGCGGGTCTCATAGGCCGCGGCGACGCGCGGGCATTTCAATGCGAGTCCGTGGCTCGGGCGGGCGCGGTATCCTGGCGGCGTCGACAACGGCAGACACGATGATGATTGTAGCGATGCTGGTGACGACGATGACGGCGACGACGACAAGGCCGATGACGGCGCCGATGCTGATCACGTCGATGGAGATGATGATGTCCACGTGTCGGTGATGAAGGTTGTGAACGGATTTCGAAATGCGCGCGCGGCCGACGCGCGCGAGTGGCCCGCATGGTATTACTTGACATGGATCGTCGCCCCAACCAACCTGCGCGCAAGGGCGTTCGAGTAACGTCGACATCGACACGTGCGCACGCGAGAGGCCCGCTTGGTCGCAGCTGATGGAGATGATGGAAAGCAATGGTTTTCTAGAGAATTCATAAGAAAGTGCGAGCAGACGTGTTTGAAACATCACGTTGTAAAACAACTGTTTTCATATGAATCGGACACTCGACTTTGAAATCCGCACGAAACCCAGGTTTGTCGAAGAATTTCGGCATGTGCGCGCGACGACGCGCGCCTGTGCACTTTGTCCCGTTTCATTGCAGGGGATTATCGCAAATTGGTAAACGAATGCGCGCGCATAATCTTATTCGGCGAATATGGATGGGTGGTCGAACCAGGTTTGGCTGGGATGATTTGAACTCATATGTAGAGCGAACGATGGGCCCGAATCATATGTAGATTGCACATCCCCTGGGGGCGCGGACAAGTCAAGCCTCGGGAGG